GCAGGCAGGGGCTGTTCTTTGTCCGTCTCGTTGGGATCAGCTGTGCGAAACGCACCGCAGCGGGTGGCCACGCGGGTCTCGCGCTTGTCCAGGTTGAAAGTAAACAAAAAAAAGAGCGATTTACTAAATAATTATGTATTTTGTTGCCGTTCTTTGTAGTACAGTACTACATTTTAATGTTGGGTATGATACTGCCCGACTCAACTCAAGGTTCAGATTTTATTTTCATTTTAACAGCCCTGAGTCAATTCACTGTTCGACGAGGGCTCTCTCTCCCCATGCTCTCAGCAGTGCGGGATTCAGAATCAGAATCAGAAACGGTTTTAATCGCCATGTAAGTTTGCACAAACAAGGAATTCACTATGGCGGGACGGTGCATACATTGAACAAGTAGGAATCTTAACTTATATAAAAGGTATACACTCTAACTATACTAACGTTACAAAGTATAAGTAATACCAAAGGGCTAAAATCTTTAAAATTATGAATAAGTAGACCTTATAAAATGCGAATGTAAAATGTTAATAAGCCGTATTAAACAATCTTAAAATACAAAAATACAAATAAGATTACACGTAAGTATGGCAAGGTGTAATTATGTAGATAAAATGTTATAGTAAGTGTAACAGTCATTTTAAGTGTAAAAGTCATTTTAAGCCCTTGGCCTTGTTGAGGAGGCCAACAGCAGATGGGAAAAAACTGTTTTTATGACGTGAGGTTTTGGTCTTGATGGACCGCAGCCTTCTGCCGGAGGGGAGTAGCTGGAACAGAGAGTATCCACGGTGCGAGGAATCGTCCGCAATCTTCCTCGCTCGCTTCAGGGTCCTCAAAGTGTGCAGGTCCTCAAGGGTTGGTTCATCGGCCGTATGTCGTAGTGCGGACTGACGACAGCGCAGAAGTGCGGTACAACGATGGACTTTGCTGCACTGCTCTTTCTCTGCTGACATCACAGCCCCGCAGCAGCAGCAGTCCGCAGAGCCCATCCAAGCACTGTCCAGGCTCAACCCTGCTTAGTTTCAGAAATCTGATGAGATCGAACGCATTCCAGGTGATTTTCTCACTCGTCGTTGTTGTTGTGTGTTTTGTTGTTTGAAGGCATAATTAAACAACTGTGCCAGGTGGTTGTCTTGATTCCACTGGCCGGGCAAGTGTCAGGTCTAACACAAGGATTCGGTCCGCTGTAGAGAATAATCTGATTGAGACTTGGACAGCAGTGGCCCGGAGCCAGATAGGAGCAAATTTCCATGCAAAAATGCATGCCAGCACCATGGGGGCTCTTTTTATACCAAGTAACTTTATTTAACGAACTATTTTTTTTATTTTACAAGGTAAGGCCCACTGAGCCACATAGCTCTCTTGAAGAAGTGACTTGGCCACAAATGATAGCTTAACGAAGTGACTTATTACATGGAAATTTATAGCAGCCAAAATACCACTTTGGGCTTCAGAGTTCGCAGAGTTTGTAAAAGGTAAACACCAGGAAACCGCTTCTTGTAGATGCACAAGAGGAGCGTGCAGGGAGAAGTGCTGGGTAGTGGCCATATATGTGGAACTTCTTTCGCACAGTACATAGCCGACCGTGCTAATCGGAGGTGAATAACCTTTGACCTCTCGAGCGAAGAGATGAATTGTCACGATTCAGCGATGCCATTTTCAATATATTTTAACGGTCTCTCGTTTTCATTGGTTCTCAATTTTGGTCTGTTACACTTGTACGGTTTCCTCCACTCCATTCGGCCTCGTTGCGGCACGCGCGTCGAATTTGCAACAACATCAACGAGCGGTTATCAAGCGCACGCTTTCGACGCATTTAAACGAGAGCGTAGGGATTGGTCTCTAATCGACGAGTCGAGGCATCGTGACAGGCCCACTGGTAAGAACGACAAACAAACAACAACGCCAAGCTACACTGACCAGCGTGCTGGACACCATCAAACAAACCCCAAAATTTGACACGGTGTGGGGGAGACCATCATCCAGCAGTGGATTGACAAAATAAGCTGCAATATTTTGAAGCATTGGCTTTTTCACTGCGAATGGAGCCTAAAAAGTCAGCCACTGTGAGACTTCAAATTACTTCACGTAACTCCTGAAATCAACGTCTTTGCTCTAAACACTGCATTTGATAGTGTTTGTGATACACGATCACATGACAGCATTAAACATTGAACTTGCCATTGTTTTTGATTTAGCAAAGGAATGCTTGGCAATGACGTGCAGAAACTGGACCCTCACATTTGCCTCATGCTGAAAACCGTTAAACCAATTTACCCACTGAACCTTGGCTGCTGTTCCACTATTTATTTAACCCAGACCCCCCCCCCCCCCCCCCCCCGTTTTGCTACAGAAACTCCTGCTCCCAATGGTCTCTTCCCCCTGGTCTTAAATAAAGGACGTTAACCGACTCGGGCACTTCTCTGAGTGCATTAGGTATTTGGCTAAGATCTTCGCCTTCATGCTATCAGAGCAATTAGCATAATCACCTCAGTAATAAAGGTTTCTATTAATAAATCACCCCTCCACAAATTCGTCCGAGATCCCAGAAACCAATTTTTGGGATGGCGCAAGACAAGCGGAGGGAATCGGGGTCAACTGTTGGAGTTCTGCTGCCGAGGATCCTAACAAAAGTCGAGGGCCCAGCACAACTGCCCCTCGTGGCTCCGTTCTGCCAAGAGAACGGTGGCGGCTCCGTCGTCAGCCGTTTCGGAACAGCGACCGCTCGCTGCTGCGCTCGCCTCTTTGCCGCGGTCGAGTCGGTCTAGAGTCACGGCGACAGCGCAGTCAACACTTTTCCAAATCACATTCCACCAAAAATAAAACCCAACTGGACGGAGTCCGCTGCCAACGCTCAGCGGTGCCGTTCCCGTCCGGCCTACGTGCGCGCAAAAGACACGGCGGGGGGGGGGGGGGGGGGGGGGGGGGGGGGGGGGGGGAGTGGGGGTTCTTGGTGGTGGCGGCGGCGGCAGCCGTGAGTGATGGAGCGCACACTCTGCGGCTGGCGGCGCGGGAAGATGCGAGCGCGCGATAGAACCGACGTGGGACGGCGCAGATACAATCGACGGGCGAGTGCCGGGGCCTGCCCAGAGGCCCCCGTGCGTGCGTGCGTGCATGCGTTACATGGCCAACGAGCGAGCTCCAAGCGGGTGGGCGAGCCAACGAGTGGGAGAGAGAACGGGCAGGCGTTCAAACACGCGCCGTGCTTCCTGAGGGGCCCCTTCTTGGCCGCGCTGGGCAGGTGAGCGAGGGGGTAGCGTCCCCATTCGTTGCGGTTAAAAGTTCAAAGTTCAACTGCTGCTCAGCTCGACACCCCCAACCGCCGTCGTCGTCACCGCAATGTTCCAGAGTGTGACGATCAATGTCACGCACCGTCAGCGCAGAGAATGGGGTGAACCCTGGGCATGTGACGATTCATCCCGGTGAATGTTAGGACAAATCCGCGTCGTGATTTGATTTTTTTAAAATGTGTTTTTCCTTGTAAAAAACATCGGATGTTTTTTTTTTCTCCATTGTGGTTTTTTTCGTCTCGTCTGTACAGTTTTGTTCGCTCCGTTTTTCTAAATTTAACGTCAGCATATCTGGTACCTACAATTTGCAGTGTGTAAATAAATGCAGGATTCTGTGTGTGTATATTGTGAGAGTAAGAAGTGGTTTTAATTGATGAATCGATGCCTCGATGTACGAATAGTAACTGGAGCTGTATCTCACACACACCCTGCAGGGCTATTGCTATTAGCTATCCCACATTAGGACGTACAAAGTTACAGTGATGATCCATCTGGGTTTATTTGTGACCGAAGCAAAACATTACACGCAAGCTACAGGAGTGAATTATCATTGCTCATTTTCTCTATAGTGTACTTATTAATGCAACGTTATTAAAATTCTAAACACAGCAGGAGACAACATTTGGTACTATTGTATCACATAAGAGTGTACCTGTGACATTGTCTCCTTCTCCCCAAACTTAATGAAAATGGAATCTCGGAGCGAATCACAAGCACGAAACGTTACAACTCGTCTGACCATGTGGATGAAAGGAGAGGTTAACCGTGACCTGTCCGAGCGACATATCGGGCTGCCACCCCCTGACGTACAAAGATCCAGGACATCTCACGAGGAGGAGGAGGAGGAATGTCTCACATCGTCTGGAACGGCGTACAGAGTGGTTAACGTAAGCCGTGAACAGTCCGGAGCGCTGCTACGGGAATCATTTTGGCACACAGCCACATCCACCTCGCCTTGTTTTGTCCTCGCGATCCAGTAGTGTGGGTGGTGGTGGCAAAATAGGGTACGATAATATGGGATCATTATGCTATGAAGGGCCATTTCCATGAAACGTCGCCTATTATACGTTTCCTTTTCGGCGTTAATGATGAGCGTGTTGAATGTTTAATTCGTCCTTGGGCACCAATGCTAACTCAAGTATCACCAAACAATTTACAGGATGGTTATGGATAGGCTTGCTGCATTCACAGTTTCGTGAATAACGTAAAAAAAAACCATTGAGAGTCCTTTGTCAGTCCACTGTTGGGTGAAGGCCTCCCCACGTTAAATTAGTTGCAGGAATCTTTTGACCAAACAGCGCAAGGCGCGAGGCCCAACGCCGATAACCCCCGCTTCCAAGCCAGCCGAGCAGCAGTGCAGGAAAATAATGAGTGAGAAATTGAGCCCTGGGTCTATCATCGTTATCATTATCACCCGCGCCTACTGGACATCTGTGAAATAGAGCTTTAAAACTCATCGGATTCCTCCAGTATAAATATTCTCATTCTGACTTTTAGCGTCCCGGGAAAGACTTACAGACCTCGCAGGACGGACAATCGGAAGAGCGGGAAGACGACCCTGGGAAGACCGCAACAGGTGGCGGCGTTCCTCCGTGTTGTTATCGGACCCCCCCCCCCGACCCACCCCTCCCCCCCCGACCCACCCCTCCGCCCCCGACCCACCCCCTCCCGACCCACCCCCCCCCCCACCGTGGGTGTGGACGAAGGGGCGCTCACCTGGGAGTACTGCGGGAAGATGGCGATGGCGAGGGGCAGCGCGGCGGCGAAGGTGGCGGTGCACACGAGGGTCTGCAGCGGCAGCGCGAGGCGGGGCCGTGCGCGCAGCAGCGCGGTCCTGTGCCAGGCACACGCGGTGAGCACCACCCTGCATCAATAACACTGGTCAACACACTTTTTCTGGCATAAGGTATTCCAACGGGTCTAATGTAATTTTGGGGTGTTGATTCCAAATCTGGCATCAGTTTTTGTCTATCACATTAGGTTTTTGAGATATAAAATATTGCATTTTCAATAAAAAACTGCAGAAGAAAAATATTAAATAAATGTGGATATCTACATACTATCCTAAAAATACAGCACCATGTTTAACACTAAAGCAGTCACTGACTCGCAACAACTTGCAATCATAAATGACAGAGTTAATTTCGGGTAAAATCAATGAAAATGGGGTATGCCGATAGCATAAAATGAGATGTGATAGAGCAAATCTGAGACCAGATTTGGAATCAGCACCCTGAAATTAGTCTAGAACAGCTGCAAAAGTCCAGGTCAGAAAAAAATGTTTTTTTGTTGTTGACCAGTGTTATTAACGATGATGATGATACTTGAATTTTATACGGAGCGTCATTTCGTGCCAACGGCGTCACACAATGCGGTAGGTTAATTATACATCAGGAGCAAATCCCACAGACGGGGTTTGGCTACGCGCGGCGCGAAAGAAGGCCAATGCACGCACGCACATACACGCCAAGCAAATGAAAACCTTTACTACAGCAAGCAAAATAAAAAATGAACAACAAATTAAGAAATGGCACCAAAACATAAAAAGCACAAACAACAAAAAAGTGATCACAACAAAGATTAGCACGGCTGGCTACGTACGGTGCGAAAGAAGTTCAACTGCATACATACCACAAACTACAATGACAAATTAATGTACACTCACATGGACAACAGGCAATTAAACACTATTATCGTTATTATCATGTTGCTATTAAACAAAAGTGTGAAGGCAAGTCTCGTGTGCAAGCAGAATGCTTACGCAGGCATTATTGACCTCTCAAGCACAGAAATATTTCATTGGGTAATGCTGATCCTTTCTTATTAGATCCTGTGGCTAATATAGATCCGTAAAAGAAGACATCTTAAAAATAATAAAACTCCGGCAATTACGCACTCTTTTAGAGACACGTCGAAAATTTCACGCGCAAATTAATTTTTTAAAAAACCTTTTAAAATCAACACGTTGTGCATCGAGGGCCGTTAACAAGAATGTGCGCGCTTCCACGCGGAACTCTCGCAAAGCAAGCAGGCCAATCCTGAAATGTGAAAATCGATATCCCAAAAAAAGGATAAAAAATGTATATATCACATTTCATCAAATTACTATTCTTCGATAAAAAAAAAAAAGAGTGAAGGAAAAAAAAAATCCCATTATCTCATCAACCCGACCACCACAACTACAGAATGTACAAATCACGCAGAGGCAATTACCACGCGGGGCAGTGGCTGCAATTAAAGGCGCGAGCGACGCTGTGCGTCGTCTGAGAATGGAAGGGGCTCTCTCCGTCTCTGTCCCTCGCTCGCTCGCCCCCTGTGTGCCCCGGCACACCTGTGGTGGCGTGGGTCAGAGATCACAGCGCGGCAGGAAATCCGAGCCATTCACCGCTCATTTCCCGAGGTCGCGAACCCTGAGCCGCACCCTTGGCATGCGCGCGTTAAAGCGCGGGTTGTCAGACTCTGCGTGTGTTTGTCTTTGTGTGTGTGTAAGTGAGGAGCGGTGGTGTAGCGGTTAGCGCAATGCGCTACGAACCCGGCGACCCGAGTTCGTTTCTCGCTCGTGGCTAACACCGGTGACGATTAGCTGAACCGGTCCAGGGCCTCTCCTAGGTCGACTCGGCCTCAAATGAGTACCTGGTGCAGTGTGTAAGCATCTCGCCACTTTGTCTTTGTAAATGGGAAACGGTGAAATAGTGGACAGTGAATGGCGCCTCAAAACCTGAACTTCTAACTTTGAGTGCAGCCATAGGATCGGTTGCGAAGTTCATCGAGGTCAACTCGGCCTTATACGAGTACCTGGTGCTGTGCCGGCCCGAATGGGTGCTCACTAACAACACTTGCCCCAACAAGCCTGCTTAAGGCTATATGGGGCTTTTGGCTTTGTGTGTGTGTGCGTGCAAGTGCTTGTGATTGTGTGCATGAGTGCCTGTTTGACTGTGTGCGTGCATGCATGCATGCAACTGAAAACAAAGTTCAGGTGATGTATCATTTGTTCTATAATTTGTGTGCAAACGGATGTCAGATGTGCCGAGATCCCGTGTCACCGCATTTGTTGGCACGAACACCGTTTGAGACGAAAGGACAGAGATGCCATTGTATCTTGCAACGCTCGAGTGTGTACAATACAAAGATCGAACAAAGATCCCCCATATAGCCTTGAGAAGACTGTTAGGGCAAGTGCTGTTTGCGAGTACCAATAAAGGCTTGAATTGTGGACGAAGGAGGTGGTGTGGTCAACAATACGCATTTGTCCAGTGCCGATGTTTACACACCACACCAGCTACTCATTTAAGGCCGAGCTCACATAGGGGAGGCCCGGAACCGGTTCAGACGACGCTCGCCGCTGACATTAGCCATGGCCAAGAATCAAACTCAGGGAGTCAGATTTGTAGCGCAGTGCACACGCACACACAAACACGTACCCCGTACTCTCCACAATGAGTGTAGCACCTCTTAACTTTGTTTGCAAAAACTAAAAACAATAGACACGTGGGAGCGTTTCGTCTTGTGCGAAGCTACCCACGTTTGACATGAACACTGACACGGCAATTCACCGTCGGATGAAGGTTTCCCCGTCGGCCACTGGGGTGACTCACTTCACTGTGCTGGTCACTGCCAGGGGGTGAAGGGTCGAAGGGCCCAGGACCAGCTCAGATTTCACTCACCACTGGTGTTAGCCATGGCTGGGAATCGAACTCAGTTCTGTAGGATGCAGGGGCCCACTCACGGCTCGTACTTTATGCAAGTGGCTCGAGGCAATAATCCAGCAGTGGATAAGGCACAGCTACTGTTGCTCATGATGAGTATAGCACATTCTATATACGCATGCATTCTCCCATAATTGCAGTGCCGACACATCTGAGAATTACAAATCCGAAATCAGAATCTGAATATTTATTCATACCGGAGGGATCCGAGGAGCTATAAAGCTCTTTTTCACAGATGTCCAGTAGGGGCAGGTCAGCACGTTACACCAGCAAACCATCTGCCCTGCCCACTGCTCTTGCTGCTGAGCATCTGTGAGAAAGAGCTTTGGAGCTCATGGGATTCCTCCAGGATAAAACACATTTTCTGAGACTCACTACAATTCGACCCACCACCCTCCTCTTCCTCCGTCAATGACACCGCGAGCAGATCCACGCTGTTGTTATTTTCACAGATAGTCCTCCCCGCCCTGACAAACAGCTACACAGGCCTCCGTCCCCTCACGGGGGAATCCTCTCCTGACATTCCTCGGATTGTAAAAGTAATTTCCTGGGGTCAGGCCCCTTAATGATGCCTGCACCCCCCCCCCCCTCCCTCCAAATCACCTCTACAATCCAGAGATAATTTCCACTTGTGTATGTGTATACACAACCACACGTATACACACACACAAACACTCCTTCACACAGGCAGGCGGACACCCATACCTTCGTGAGTGTGTGTGTGTCTTCGTATTCGCATTCATAGGTCCGAACATGTGAGCAAACAAATATGTAACGACCGTGATGAGAGCCTCCACACACCGTGGGAGTCGTGGCCAAGGCGGGGGGCATTTGACCATACTTCACCAAACTGGTTAGTGCGAAATTTCGATTTAAAGCTTTCGTGACTGCAGGGATTCATCTTCTTGGTTCTTTCGGTAAAGTCACGTAGAAGGGAAGTAATAAAATAATAAAAATAAAACATCATAAAATAATTCTCACGACGTTTCGGCCACAACGCAAGCAGCCTTGCGTTGTGGCCGAAACGTCCTCAGGTGAAGACCAGGTCTTCACCTGAGGACGGCTGCGAGCTGGTGAAGTTGCGGGGGGGGGGGGGGGGGCGGGGGGAGCACAGACGTGAGGGACGTGAGAGAGTAAAATTACAGTGCAATGGATTTTCTGCACTCTTCGTCTTCTGTGCCTCTGCTGCCAACAATGCGTCCTCGCAACAGCAGCAACAGCAGCCGCAGCACTCTAACACCCGTGATGCATGGTGGTCGCGGTTCAGCACTATCCAGGCTCACCGCTGCTGAGCTTGAGAGAGAGAGAGAGACATCGAACTCGGGCGCATTCTGAGAGATGCGAACAGTTTAGATAAATATATAGCCACGCGAATTATGCACGCACACAGACCTTGCACGCACATTACACACACACAGACCTTGCACACGCATTACACACACACAGACCTTGCACACACATACACACACATACCTTGCATACATATACACACAGACCTTGCACACGCATTACACACACACAGACCTTGCACGCATTACACACACAGACACACAGACCTTGCACACGCATTACACACACAGACCTTGCACGCACATTACACACACACACAGACCTTGCACGCACATTACACACACAGACCTTGCACGCGCATTACACACACACAGACCTTGCACGCATTACACACACAGACACACAGACCTTGCACACACATTACACACACACACAGACCTTGCACACGCATTACACACACACACACAGACCTTGCACACACATTACACACACAGACCTTGCACGCGCATTACACACGCACACAGACCTTGCACACACATTACACACACACACAGACCTTGCACACACATTACACACACACATAGACCTTGCACACACATTACACACACACACAGACCTTGCACACACATTACACACACAGACCTTGCACGCGCATTACACACGCACACAGACCTTGCACACACATTACACACACAGACCTTGCACGCGCATTACACACACACAGACCTTGCACGCATTACACACACAGACACACAGACCTTGCATACACATTACACACACAGACCTTGCACGCGCATTACACACGCACACAGACCGCTTTGCACACAACCACGACGGA